GGGATCGAGTCCCACATCGGGCTCCCTGCTCCTTGGGAGCCTGCTTCTCCCTCTGCCTCTCTCTCTCTCTGTCTCTCATGAATAAATAAATAAAATCTTAAAAAAAAAAAAAAAAAGAACATGGATTTTAGAGCCAAAATTCTTAGTTTCAAATCCCCATTCCACAAGTCACCAGTTTCTCAAATTATCTGTGGCACAGCTTCTTATAAAATGAGGCTAATAACAATAATCTCTTCCTCATAGGGTTGTTGTGAGAACCAAGTAAGTTCATGTGTGTAAAGCGCTTACTATGTTTAATGTGTCTAGAGAGGTTCATGGCACACAGTAAACAATCAATCAAGTTTATAGTTCACACCTATGCATGAAACTATGCTAAAACCCTGTATAATAATACATTGAGAAATAATCAGGTCAAAGGAAAACACTCACAAGGTCACTATATCGGCATTGGCTGCTTCCACAGCGATGGTCAAAGGGTCCTTCCCTTCTTCATCAGTGGCGTGTTGATTGGCACCTCGTTTTAGAAATAAACATACCTGCCTGTTTCAGAAAACAGCATTTTTGAGACATTGCCAATGAGGAAAAAAAAACAGTATTCACCTTAAAAAAATAAAAAGCACTACCTAAAGAAATAACATTTTCACTAGGAAATTCTTGACTCATTCTACAGCTATTTATTGAACACTGGCTCTAATAATAAAAATTTACCATGATCAGCATTTTACAAATCTCCAGATGTTTTTACATTTAACTTGGTGCTATGTAGCAAGATGGAATGTATAATTATAGTTCCTACCCTCAAATAACATCAGAAAAAGATGTACATATATATCCATAAACTTAAAACAGAAATCACTCAAGGTCATTATCTGCAAAAGAAGGAAGCCAAGGCAATGTTAACATATCAACGATAATTCAACAGCAAAGAGTGGAAGGTAATCCTCCCTCTGGACTCCACAAATATTTATAACTGGAAGAAACTGACAAAAATGAAAAAATATGATAGGATGAATAAATGGAGTCTATGAAGTAAAATGGGAAGAGTGGTTGGTTAAGAATACAAAAATAAATTAAATATGAACATTTTTAAGTATACAGAAGTTTTTATGATGAAGTTATTGAACTCATTCTCTTTGCTCACAGACAAAAGTAAGCTATGATAAAAGTAGAAAATCCTTTAAAAAAAATAGAAGATGCTTTAAATACACTTAAAAAGGGACAGCGTCTTACTTGTTGGGATAATAAGAATTGGATATCCGGAGATATTTTATTTAAAACAATCACCTATGACACAAACTTTTCATTTAAGGTCAACATTTTGACTTCATCTGTACCATTTATTAGAAGATCCACCTTCACAACTTTATGGTTCTATGAGTCTAAATATCGCTGCAGACACCTCAACGGCAATAGCACAGACTAAGAATTTACTTTAAAATTGGACTTTAGCTACGCCGTGGGAAAACTCAAATGTCCAAAATTACAAAACTCTCCCCAAATGTGTGTGCTATGCACGTAATGTATGTGAACATGCATAAATACAAACACAGATTAAGTTGCTGAAAAAAAAAACACCATAACTTCAGTAAAAGTTTTAAAGACTAAAACTGATCTATATAAATGGCAAGTAAAGTTCAAAATAGGCTTTGCAACTTTCTTATCTGAAAAGTAACAATAGCTTTTTTCTGCATGAGATTTTTAAAATTTCAAATTCTATCATGACAATAGAAGTCATAGGAAAGTATCATTTTATAAACTCTACCCAATGGGCCTTCACCTGAGAAAAAGCAAAACATTATTTCAAAATAATTTTTCAAATAAAATCTACTTAAATATGTAAGCACGACAGTTTACCCTGTATGTCCCAAGACAGTGGCATGGTGCAGAGGGCCCCGCCCCTGCACATCTCTCTGGTTCACGTTAGCACCATTCTGTAGAAGAAACTCGCAGGTCACCAAAGAACCCTTAAAGGACAACAGAAGATAACAATGTACGAAGAGCAAACAATAATATATTTCTATTAAAAACAGGTATTTACTCTGATAGCCTTTCTCTTTTCCCAAAAGAGAAAATACCCCCCAGTAAAAGCAGAAAAATGATAAGTTATATTACTTTCTTCCCAAGAATGATGATGTAGCAAAAGACACTACACATTCATCACCAGAATTCTCTTCCACTGAGAAAAAAAAAAAACTTACATAATCAAAGTGGTGCTCAGAACTCACTACCAGCTTTTTCTTCTACTTTCCAACCCATCTCTTAAAGCAAAAAATAATGCTAAAGCTATGTTCACAATGAATTATAATTTTTCATGTTTTACAATGTATGGATTCATACCCCTAATACAGCCTGAATAAGTGGTGTTGCTTTATTTTCCTCTGAATTAGCCCAGTTCACATCTGCACCATGAGCCAAAGCCTCAGCCATTTTAGGAAGATTTTTTTCATATGAAGCCCTATAAAGCTGGAGTCCTGGGTTAAGATGTTTAGAGTCGAGAAACACAGAAGAATCTTGCCTTTCTCCCTCTGAAAAGCAAACACAAATACATAAATAAAAATGAGCAGGGCGGGCGAGAGTGGGAAGTTCTCGTTTCTTAGGTACAGGGTTTCAGTTGTGTAAGACGAAGAGAGCTCTGTGGCTGGATAGTAGTGACAGCAGCACGAGGGTCAATGCCACGCAACTCTCCATTTAAAAATGGGGAAGATGGTAAATTTTATGTTATGTACATCTTACCACAAATTAAAAAATGTACCACAATGTAAAAGATGTAAAAGAAACCGCTAATTTAACAAAATGAGCGAATGGGAGATTTTCACAAAAATGTTATTCCCAACAGACTGATCACTTCCCAAACAGTCAAACTTCTTCTCTTACAAAGACGTTGATTGGTATGCTAGACTTTTATGGTCCTGCCAGGATTCAGTGGGAAGTGAATCACTCTGTACTAGATTAAAATTAGGTATATTCCTATAAAAGCCTGGATTTAAGGACTCACAAGAGCTGGTAAAAAAATTGCTAAAGAATTTTACTACTAGACCAAGCCTTACTTTATTCCTAGGATGGTCTAATACCACCACAATGTACAGTACAAGCAATTCAAGTTATTCAAAAAATTGCTCACTACCCTGGGTATTCTGCAAGATCAAAATCATGGAACTCAAGGAGAGAATATAGGAAGAAAGCACAGGTCAGAAGAAAAATATAATGCAGAGGGAGTTGCTAATCTCGTTCTCCTGATAAAACAACCATAAAAAAAGATAAAGAGTGATAAGACAGTTCATGTGGATTACAAAGTATCCTTAGTGACTGACAGGCACTTCTAGCACGCATCATGAGGCTTAGAAGAATGTACAGCTAGAAGAGAACTTCTAAATATGAAAAGAAATAGCTGCTTTCTCATTTAACAACACCTCCTAAAAGGCTAACCACTTTCTTCAGAAATTATTTAATCAAGACTAAGCACAAAGCACATGCATTTTTCAGCAAACAATACCAATTAACATTGAATTTCACCAAAACTCACCAGGCTCATATAAACTATTGGCAGACACTGTGGAGGGTAAAGATTCTCTTCCATCATCAGAGCTCTGCTGGATTCCACTATCATTACTTTTGACTGTTTTAAAGAAAAATCAGCTAGTGATTAAAGTTCATGCCTTTCAGAAAACAATCTACCACAAACAACAAGGTTTTAAAATGAGCTCTGATATGTCAACATGAACTTGGCCACTACCACAATACATTTAATAAACTTTAATCCTTTCAGACATTTAGCTTAGCAAAATATGAATCAATCACAAAGCCTGAAAATAAACTTATCTTCAGAGTCGCAACGCATCTCATTACCCCATAATATGTCAGGTGTGGTGAAGAGCTTAATTTATTGTATGACTGCAAGTAATGTGTAATTCTGAGACAATGGGTAACATCTAGAGAAATGGCCACACCGCACAATGACCACTGGCACAGACTTGGAATGCTCCACAAGAGTAGTACTTACTACTACGTAGTTTTGAAGAAGTATCAAAGTAGGAGAAGAGTGAATCTAGCTCATCAGGACAGAACAGAGACTCCCGCCTGGCCTCGTCGCTATTTACAGCAACCACTGGGGACATGCAAGTTAGCAAAGCACAAAGCAGGCCATAAGAAGGGAAAAGGGCAGGAAAAAAACGTTACTGGGAAAAATTTAGGAGGAAAAAATAGGAAGGATATTAGGTGGTTAATCAGATATTCAGGGCTTGTTGCCACGATAGATTTGTAATTCCCATCTCCCCTTGCACCTTAAGCAGTTTTATTCCTTAGAATATACGCATTACCTAGAAATGTGAATTACCAAGATGCTATTGCATTTTAACTGTTTTAAGGCCATAGAAATCCAATTTTTCCTTAGAATATGTAGAAGGAAACAGGTTTTTAGCATTTAAATAAACTACAATGGCTACTAATTCAGAGATTAAGAAAGTGACTTCAGTTTAAGAAAATATTTCTATATACAACAAGTAAGCTATAATACCTGAACTTTGGGGAGGCACTCTGACTTGGTCACTGGGCCCAAGTTTAGAAATGCTCAGCCTCTTTTCTTCACAACTTTTGGAGATCATCCTTTTTTCCTGCTCAGAAGGTGATGATGATACAGAATACTTATCCACAAATTTCCTCTCCACATATTTTGCTTTGATATATGCCTCCTTCTCCTGCCTGGTATATACATAAAAACATCATGATGTTCTGCTTGATCTCTTAGTATGGCTAACACTGAGAAGAAGCCATTACACACCAAATATTTCCTAAAAAGTCACTAAACGTATTACTAGTTAAAACTAAATTTGTGATATTATGCAACATATTTCCCTTCCAAATATTTAATAAACTATGATCTCATGTTCAAATAAAATACAAGTAATAAACTAACTGAAAAATCACAAGTATTAACATGGCACTCTCTTCTTCTCTTAATTTCTGGGCTCATTCATTTCTATACATACTTCCTTGTGCTTTTTTTTTTTTTCCCCTTGTGCTTTTTACAAAATGGAAAACATTACCAAGAAAACTATAAAAATTTATAGAAATTAACTTTAATTTCATTTTACTCCAACAGATAACATCAATAGATGAACTATCACTATTGTCAGTCATAATTTTTCCTAAAACAACTACTTTAAAACAACATAGCACTCCTAATTAAAGAAGAAAAAATGTCACATTTTAAACTTTTCTGACACAATCATAAAATGCCAAGTCTGTTCTATACTTTTTCTTACTTACATCCTTTTAAAGTAGTTAAATCTTTGGCTAAAATACAAAGATATTTCAAGGTCTGAAATAACTTGGCCATGCTATAGCAAATAATCTCACTTAAGTGATACTAGTTCAGACAGCAGTAACTTTAAAATAATATTGATTATACATAGGGGCACCTGGGTAGCTCAGTCAAACATCTGCCTTTGGCTCAGGTCATGATCCTGGGGTATGGTGTCAGGCTTACTGTTCAGCAGGGAGCCTGCTTCTCCCTCTCCCTCTGCCCCACCCCTTGCTTATGCTTGCTCTCTCTCTGTCAAATAAATAAAATCTTGAAAAAAAAATATTGATTATACATAAAGATTTAGTCGAACATAAAATCTCAATACAGGATTAAGGCAAATAAAATTTTAATGCTAAAAATAATCATAAAGACTAAAAGCAACATCAACAATAAAAACTAATTATGTACCTTGAGGGCACTCCTAGCCACTTCATTCAATGAGCCTCTATATATAGAATTGGAAGTATAATTTCAAACACAGCAATTAAGTACTCTCCCCTATCAGAAGCTATCCTTTCACCTTTAATTCTTTAATATCATAATGCCATGTATAAAGTACATGATTAACAAATATATATATAATTTTTTTTTTTTTTTGGAAAGAGAGAGAGCACAAGCATGGGGGGAGAGGGAGCAGAGTGAGAGGAAGAGAATCTTGAGCAGGCTCCATGCCCAGTGCGGAGCCAGAAGCAGGGCTCGATCCCCAAACCCCGAGACCATGACCTGAGCTGAAATCAAGAGTTGGACACTCAACCAACTGAGCCACCCAGAGACCCCTCAACAGATATTTATTGAAGTCAAACAATGTAAAACTATTCATTCATTGTTGATAATAGAAACTTGATCCTTAGAGACATTAATGAACAGATTATCTCTTTATAAAGGCCTGCCAATAACAGAATTGGTCTACTTTAACTCCTAAGAGCTTTTACATTCTATGTAGAGACTTTTAAGATTCTCATCTGGAGCCTAGAGTTGATTATCTAATCAATAAAAAATAATTATCTAATACCTACCCAAGAAAGAGATAGACATATTTTAATAGTATCTTCTAAACAGTCTGTCTCAATATTACATATCAATTATAGTGAAATAAAATCTTAGCTATATTCCTGCTTATGAAAAAAAAAGTAATACATGGAGACAACTGAAATAGTACCTTTGTCCTGGTTGTGGTTTCTTTATTCCCATTTTTTCCACTTTAGCTTCATAAACTTGATTTATAACATCATTTCCCAACTCACACATAAGCTGTTTTGGCAGGAAAATAGAAAAATAAGCTACAGATTCCTAAAAATACTATAAAAGTCCTTAAAGCACACACAATTAACTCATTCCTTTTGCATATTCTGCCAATGCTCATCCCACAAAGACATTTAAAGTTAAAACAAATTAAGAAAAGGACTAAGAGCAATATCATCATTTTGCCTAAAAGACTACCACTCTTACAAGAAAGGGTTTCTCCTAACTCACCTCTCAACTATGGCTAGCACAATGCTGCATACTATTCATAATGCTTGGTAAATTAAATGAAAAAAGACCAAACTGGTTAAGTTTTAAAATAGAAGTAAACTATTTTCTCCTTATATTTTATATATGAGTTTCAAAATATTTTGTTTAACACTTGTGGTTATATTTTTTAATGTACCAGACAACTGTGTTTTAACCAAATTTTAAAAATTGAATCTATTAAATTCAGAGCTATAAAATGGATGCCGAAAAATGAGGTTTCTACCTCTCATCCTCCACTTTCTTCTCCTTTGAATTCATAACAATTAATAGGATCTATCTAAATAGGGCTCTACCTTAGGAACCAATTTATCACTTTCATCCAGATGTTTACACAATAATTCCACAAAGCAAATGTTTTACTTTACATAAGTGAGAGGATTACTAGTTTATCTATGGATTGAAATAAAAATACAAGCACATTAACACAATTTCACACAGAAATAAATGCAGAGTAAACTACAATCTTTAAACTAATATATACATTTTTTTACAATATGGTAAACTAAATGGTGGGAATTAAAAGGAATATATTATTTACCAATATGAGTTTTATAAATCTTACCAGAACCTGAATAGTGATCTAAAATGATTTATGACATTTTCATAGATAGGAATCCTTGCACAACTTACACAAGGCTGAAAGGATGTCTTAGTTTGATGACTACTACCTTGAGAAATGTAAATCTGCAAATGGTCCTATGCTAAAATGGCCCAATGATAACAACATGCTATACCAATCCATTTTGGAGCACACTAATATGTCTGTTATACTTTTAACAAAAATTTATATAATTACAAAAGACTAAAATTAAGGCACAGAATTGAAGGTTTTTTTGAGAAAACATAAAAATGTAGGAAAGCTGTTTTCCTTACAAGGGGAAGTGACTTGCAACTAAAAGTGCTACATAAACTTAGCAATTTAAAAAACCCAATTATGAAAATATCAGATTTGCCAAAATAGTCTCAGATGTGTTCCAGTAAAATTCAGTTTATTGTTAGCATTGAGAAACTCACACATTTTTTAAATCAAGATTCTAAAATCCTGATCTTTTATGTGAAAATCTGAAATATTTTTAAGCAAGTATGTGTTTTACCTTTAAAAGTTCAGGCTCCCAGGTGTCTAAAGTTAAAGATCGTACTTTTGAAAAATGAACTCCAAGACTCCTAGAGGGAAAAAAAGACTATATTAATATAGAAAGCTATCAAGTCTCTATTTGCATATTATGCAAATTATTTCTCTTTTAATGGGACATAGTTGCTAATACAGCCCTCAACATGTATGTAAATAAGTAGAGCTCTTCTGGCTAATAATAAATAGTAAAACTAAGTCCTCTAAAGCACTCCACAAACCAGAGTTTGCACTCCCAATGCCAAAGTTATAAAGATACAAATGGCAGCCACATTAAGGCAAGTGGAAAAGGCCCTGTAACCAATGGGACACCATAATTTAGAGAATCAGAGAAGTGTCTCAGCCGGTGCAGGCCTACCCACCGGTGAATCCCAGAACACTCGATACACAGGGTGATGCCCAGGTTGATGCTGGCCCACCGTGGATCCGCCAGACCACAGTCACAGCAGCTAGCATTGCCAGGAATACACTGGACTCGCTGCAGCGCGCTTTCTCCTTTCAATAATTTATCTTTTGACTCATTTCCAGAATCCAGGCTTCCTGTGGATGGAGATGATTTCTTATCCAGCTTCTAAAAGAATTAAGAATTATTTGTTTAAAAAAAAAAAAAAATTGCAATACTATGCTACACATTACCTGCTCCAAACCAAAGCTTCCAATCAATAAATTGAAGGCTTATTACGGGCCTAAGCCAGGTACTGTTCTAGGCATTACAGATTCAAGGATAAAAAGATATAGGTTCCTCCATCAATTGGCATTTAGTCTTGTCAGAAGAAACATAAACATTGGAAATGATATATTATTTATGTAAATAAATATTTACATTTAATTTATATGTGTATATATATATAAAATAAATGACACACTGAACACATGTACAAGATATGGGGTGAAGAGAAAGGGAAACACTTATTTAACATGCAAGATCAGAGACAGATGGAATAAACATGAGACTATTAAGACTCAAGAATAAAATTAATATTATTATTCTATACCAAGTTTTTCCGAAGTATCCAATGAACTGCAAGCAAGTTGTTTTGATTACTGCAGTGAATAACTGGAAATGGTATGGCTTTTTACTAAAGAATAAATCAATTACATAATTATAATTATATTCCCAGCAAGGGAAGTGAAAGACTGAGGAGGGAGAAGAAAGCACCAGTGTGAGGTGCTAGAGCCTGACGAGGGGCAATAGGCAGCAAAGAAGGTTGTTGGTTACATACAGGGGGACTGATCATATAAGTAAACATGTTAAAAATAAAAGGGAGCCATTTATTTATATGGAAAGGAGAGAATTAGAACAAACCCTGCTGTGTGTGCTTACAACTGGAGATATAAGAGGCATACTAATGGTTTTCAATATAAACAGATATATAAAGAAATATAGCTGTAAACCTATCTATGTGTATATACATACATATATTCCTTTATCGTGGTTTCTAAAAGCCATTCACCAGCAAAAGGAACTAGGGCTCTTTAGAGAAACTGATGATTTTAGCACTGGTACAGAGAAAGTACAAGATGAACCTGGAACACCTCATCATGCTAGAAAATAAGGAGGAACTCAGATTGATGGGAACATGTCAAAAGGATACAGAAGCCGGGGTTCCACTGGCCAAATTTGGATCAATTTTTTTAAAGAATTTATTTATTTGAGAGAGAGAGAACACACGAGCATGGTGGGGAGAGGCAGAGGGAGAGGGAGAAGCAGACTCCCCGCTAGGCAAGGAGCCCAATGGGGGACTCAATCCCAGGACTCTGGAATCATGACCTGAGCCAGAGGCAGACGCTTAACTGACTGAGCCACCCAGATGCCCGAACTTGGGTCAACTTGAACAGCAAAACAAATAATGATAGTAATGGATTATAACACATTGAAAAAAATAGTGACCTATACTGACATAATTAAATAACATTTAAAGCCTGACGAGGAACAGAATATTCACAAAGTCTCAAAGTACCTCCCCTACAAAATACTTATTATCTACAAAGGGAATGTTATAGTACAGAAGTCTAGCAAACCACCTTAATCAAGTGATCACAGTGAACATCACCAATAATGGGACAAATCAAAGTTATGTACCACCTGAATATGCACTGAGAAGAACACAGCATCATTCACATAACCTACCTGCCAAAGATGCATAACCTTGAGAGTAAACATCAAACTTACACTGAAGGACATTTTACAAAATAATTCGTTTGTTTTCTTCAAAACTATCAAGGTCAAGAAGGTCAAAGAAAGACTGAGGGACTATTCCTGAGGGAAGGAAACTGAAGAGCCGTGACATCTAATGTTACCTGTGCTTCTGGACTGGATCTTTCTGCTATAAAGAACATACTGGGACAGTTGTTAAACTTAAAGATGTTTGGGAACTAAACTGTAGCCATATATCAATGCTCATTTCCTGATTATGATGGCAGTACCGTGGTTTTATAAGAGAAATGTCCTAGGATGTAGGAACTACTAAAACAATGGGTGATAGGGCATCATGTTAGAAACCTACTCTGAAATAGTTTGGGGGGGGGTTATTTGTACAATACTTGGAACTTGTCTATAAGTTCGAAATGATTTCAAAAATTTTTAAAAATCTGTTTTACTAGAACATGTTCAATAATGTGAATTACCTCATAAGCAATTATCAGATAGGAAAAAGATGTCAATACAATACAGAAATCTTGTTGGTTCATTCCCAGTTTATAGAAACTAATGTTTTTGCACCAAATCAGAAAAGCTGAAAGCAAAGTATACTACACAGCAGAACCTGGGTCCAGGAACAAAGGAATCCCCTCCATTCTTTTTGGCTCATTTTGGCCATGTGTTTGTACTCAAAAGTGTGTATTGCATTCATTCTCTCTGATCTTTATATGTTTTGCCTTTGTCATCATAACTGAGTAGCCTCAACCCTTCTGTACCCTTCCATTATGCTATCTTTGTCAATTTTTAAAGTTAATTCCTATCATACTGTAGTATCCATTTATTATAAATTTAACTATTCTAGTATTTTTACTGAAATTCTAAAGTTCCTGCAAGTATTCTAGTTACAAACTTACACAGATTTTTAGGGCAGCCCTATCCCTATTTTTCCTATAATCTCTATTATTTCTAGTGTATGGTTTTTCATAACTGGTATTTCAGCAATGCCACCAGCTTCTTCATCAAGATGATCTGGATACACACCTAATTTTGTTCCCTCACAAAACTTTGCTAAAAACCAGAAAAAAATTATTAAAAGGCATTATCCTGAGCTTTTATTGGACAAAGCTGTGATAATCTGAACATTAAAAAAAAAAAAACAACTGATGTTGAATATCTTCTCATGTGTCTGTTGGCCATCTGTATGTCTTCTTCAGAAAAATGTCTATTCAGGTCCTCTGCCCATTTTTAATCAGATTATTTGTGGGGGGTTTTGGTGTTGAGTTGTGTAAGTTCTTTATATTTTTTCGACCTTAACCCCTTATTGGATATATCATTTACAAATAGCTTCTCCCATTCAGCAGGCTGCGTTTCTATTTTATTGATGGTTTCCTTCACTGTGCAAAAGCTTTTTATTTTGATGTAGTCCCAGTAGTTTCTGCTTTTCTTTTCCTTGCCTTAGGAGGTGAGATATATCTAGAAAAATGTTGCTACGGCCAATGTCAAAGCTATTGTTGCTTATGTTCTCTTTTAGGAGTTTTATGATTTCAGGTCTTACATTTAGGTCTTTAATCCATTTTAAGTTTATTTATGTGTATGGTGCTAGAAAGTGGTCCAGAAAAAAATTCTTTCTGCATGTAGCTGTCCAGTTTTCCCAATGCCATTTACTGAAAAGACTGCTTTTTCCCCATTGCACATTCTTGCCTCCTTTGTCATAGATTAACTGACCATATAAGTGTAGGTTTATCTCTGGGCTCTGTGTTCTGTCCCACTGATGTGTCTATTTTTGTGCCAGTACCATACAGCTTTGTAGTATATCTTGAAATCTGGAACTGTGATACCTCCAGCTGTGTTCTTCTTTCACAAGATTGCTTTGGCTATTTAGGATCTTTTATGGTTCCATACAAATTTTAGCATTATTTGTTCTAGTTCCATGAAAAATGTTATTGGCATTTGGCCAGGGATTGTACTAAATCTGTAGATTGCTTTGGGTATTATGAACATTTTAACAATATTAATTATTCCAATCCACGAGCATGCAATATCTTTCCATTTGTTTGTGTTCTCTTCACTTTCTTTCATCAGTATTTTTTTTTTTTT